TGGACTCGGAAACAACAGAACAAGAACAAGAAATACATGAAGTCATAACTCATATTAGAAATGGAAAATCATCTTGTGTTGATGAAATGTTTATTACAATGCCCCACGAACTATCATAATGCTCTTTTTCAAATCACTTTTTAATTATACTTTTGACTGGTGCGTTCCCTGGGGTATAATCAAACTCATTCTGTTCCACTACCTAAAAAGGGGGAACCCCACAAATCCTGATCATTATGGTGCAATAACTCTATTACGTATCTTGGGTAAAGAGTCCTCCTTTTTGGCTCTGAAGTATATGAGGTCTCAACACTATCGTGCGTTAGAGAAGTCCATCTTTCAGCACGTAAAATGTTTTTAAATGTCGAAAACCAACTCCTAATATATATTAAACTAGGGTGAATGTGGTCGCTACCTACTCTACGTCAACTCAAATATTCGAGCGGTTAAATATTGGCTTAAATTAATAATTATGCATGTCACTCAAATTCCTAAGAAAGCTCATATTTTACTTTACTTGACAGTTGTTGCCGTGAGACACGGGTCTAAATTCCTTTTTTAATTCGTATGGTTGTGTAATAGAGTTGGTGACCACATGGCATTAATTAAAGTGTCCAAACGAATTCTGAAACTGTTACATATTTTCACAAACTTGGGAAGCTACACTAAACAATAACTCAAGGTATATGTTGTGTAGGAATGTAAAGGCTTCTTGGAACCAAGGAAATATGTAACAGCTCTGTAACACTTCTGCCGCAGATAATACTCATGAAATTCAGGTGTACTCAGGTGTACTCTATACACAGATACCTAAGTATCTAAAGTATATCTAAGATAGATGGTTGGAAATTAATTTGTATATATAAACTGGGCGGCAAAAGAAAGTATAGGTCGAGTTCATGGTGTGGGGTGGCATCAGTCATAACCATCGAACAGAGCTCCAAGTTTGTCGTGGAAGAGTTAATGCCCTTTACTACAGGAATAACATATTGGCAAATCACGTCATCCCATTCTTTCATCAGCACCAGGATATGCACACCTTGTACCTAGCGAACAATAATGTGCCTCTGCTTCAATGGCCAGCCCTGTCACCCGATCTATCGCCAATTGAACATCTGTGGGATTACCGGGGGCACGGGTGGCCCAGTCGTCTAAGGCGCCGCGATTCGCTGTGCAGAGTTGCGTCCCTTGGGTTCGCCAGAAACCTATGATTGTGGGTTCGAATCCCGGTTCGCCCCGATTATGTTTCTAGGTTTGTCAGCACCATACCCGTGCTCGTGGGTTTCACCGAAGTGGTAAACGTCTGAGACCTGCATCACTTCGGGCTTTCCTCCCACAGTAAGCTGACACGCCGCGATATAACTGGAATACTGTTAAAAGCGGCGTTAAACCCAACTCACTCACTCACTATGGGATTACCTGGGTCAACGCCTCTCACGTCGTCCGCAAGTACATAACCTGAGAGAACTTGAAGATACACTACGTCAAGAGTGGAATGCCCCAGAACACTATTCGCAGACTTATTCGATCAATGAGAAAACGTTGCATGGCCTGTGTTGCTGTTAATGGCGGACATACCAGATATTGACTTTTAATTTTAACCCTATGTGTCTTCCTTACACTGATGACGTAATTGTAATTACTGTGTGGTATTCCTGTTTCCTTTGTCGTCTTTCTTAAGAATCCCTCTATGCCTGTTCTAATCAAAAATCGGTCATTGCTCAAGTTGTTTTTGTAATATTTCAAGATTTATTGCTGGTGCGTTTTCAATGCTGTTCAGTTTATAATCTAGGGAGGGTAACAAATGATTGATCAACCACAGTTTGAATGAAATTGTGAAATTGTGAAAAAGTATAGTGAAAATAATGATTGCGATTTTGTTGCGAATATCAGTTATCCTATATACATTTAGTCATTTTCCATAGTCTAAAATTCATAATATTCGTAGGAAGTGTTTAAAATGTCCAAGTGAAAGTGCTGAAATCGCACGCTCCGTAATCGGCTTCCAAAACAAACCTGTTTAGGCCTAAAGCTGCCAGCGCAGCGGTGACAACTGTTTTCAATGGGTGATAGGTTTGCCGCGTTTATCCATCTTGTGCGATATGGCTGAAATATTGCCGATGTGACGTAAAGCATAAACTCACTCACTCACTCCATCTTGTGATTCACAGCCGTTATACATATACTGTTCCTGCTATTTCTGTTAATCCTACAAAAGTAACAACATTGCACACATTGTGGAATGTGTGAAACGACCTTTGATCTTGACATTGTGAATAATTAAAATAACAATTAACAATCAGTAGCCAGCGTTTAATTGCTAACATCCTATTTGGGTAATAAAAACTCAGCTGCCCTCGACCCTATTCCACACAATAAATGCATGTCTACATTGTTACTAAGGAGATATAAGTTGTGGAACGGTAATCAAATGAATGAGCAGACAGAAAAGAAGACAATTTTCAAACAATCTCATTAAAATCAGATCTTAGTTCTCGCTATCGCTGAACAAAGATCTGAGGACATCCCATTACAGGTCAATCAAAGCGTCGCTTAACAGATCATGAAAGTGACAGTCAGAATGTGTTTTCTAATCATGCAACCTCGAAAACGTTAACACGGGATATTCCGAACGAAAGTTACTGCCCGTACGACTGATTCCGTCAAAATTATCGTCTATCTCTCGCTTCTGGTGTATAAACATTTGAACGGAGGAGGCTTTGCACAGTAAATGGGTAGCACTGCCATACAATGTCAACCATATATTACACATTCCGGAATGTTCGTTTTTTCAGTTTTCAAAATTGTAATCGAGAACTGTGTCAACATATTTTTCAAGCGTAGTCTGAAATGGCAGTCGCCAGGTTGAAACGAGAAAGCGGCCAATTGGCTGATGTCGACTTCTTGTTAGTCATTTTGGTCAAAGTTCGCGAAAGGTCGTTCTGACGTGGATGTCTTCAGATCTTTGTTTAGCGGCAGCGAAAACTTAGATCTGATTTTAATGAGATTGACGTACAACAGAATCCGAGGCAGAAACATGCAGACTGAGCGTCGTCCCGATCGTCATGATTGTTGATATTGCGCAGCGCGTCAAACACCGGGAACCCGTTTTAACCTCCAGGAAGGGAATCCCCTTACTGGGGGGAATTTAACGTTTAGGGAACGATTTCGCGTGTAGTTTTTATATCGTTTGTTTTACGCTATTTCCTTTTTTCAAAAATAATTTAGTCAAGCATTTGTGATTGAGTTTGCCCCAAAGTATTAAAATCTGCAAAGTTGTTATGTTGACTTTACTTGGCCTTTGAAAGTCGGCAACCCATGCTTGCCGTACAAGGCGACTATGCTTGTCGTAAAAGCGACGAACGTGATCGGGTGGTCAGGCTCACTGACTTGGTCGATGCATGTCATCGTATCCCAATTTAGTCATATAGCTGGAATATTGCTGTGTGCGAGTTTAAACAAAGTCTTTGCTAACCAAAAAGCATGGTTAGTGAATTTGGGAGTATTTTCCTGGAATCCTCACGCGGGTTAGCGTATATGTTTGAATTATCGGATTACAAACGACGGAGTTGATAAAAGTTGGCACATGGTAAAGCTAAGACTTGGAACTAATAATCAGTATTTTACTAAACAAACACGAGGTCATGGTCGTTAGCTGAGAATTGTATTAAGGAAGAGAATGTATGGATGTCAACTTCTTTATTATGAGGAACACAACGTTTCGGAGTATATGCTTACTGTTTCATAAGGCGAATGCTCTCTCATTCAAAATATTAAAACTTTATGTGTATATCATTTTTCCTACTAAAAATACTGTACCACAATAAAAAAGAGGGGAATTCTTAGCTGTACACAAATAGCCATTATTGACTCATATATTCAACGAAATATTTTTACTGTACCCTACGAGGTCGATAAGAAGCCCAAAATATAATTGATATCCTGAGCAACATACTATACCAAGCTGTGTACGAGGGCTGGGACGGGTAACTCGGGTACTCGGGTCGGGTGGGTCCTCAGGAGGACCCGGGTACCCACAGGACTACCCGGACCCGTGGTTAGTCGAGTTATATAGAGTTTTTAATGACAAAAACTCACTAGAGCTCAGTGGTTGCACTACAAGCCGCTAATGTGCGCATTTCTTTCTGGTGATGCACACATTCCTTTTGACATGTATATGTTTGAGTAAAGATAAAGCTTGAGTGATTGACATGATTTGATCGTTTCATAAGAGACCATATATATCTATCATATGGTCTCTGGTTTCATACATGTATCTGAACAGTTTTTGCCAGGGCTACAGTTAAGAAATGACACTCACAGTTGGTGAATATTTGTCACAAATGGATTTGTAATCGCTTTCTTTAACGCGTACCAGTGTAGAGAAAACATACTGTATCTCCAGTCATCAAGAAATCCGGGTGTTGCACTGTTTAGAAGAGTTTGTTATCCCAGTGTAGAAAACAGCTTGTATTTGCCAAGCCCACGTGGCCCAATGGATAAGGCACCGGCCTCCTACACAAAGACAGTGGTCATAGCCGTGGATTGCGGATTCGAGTCCCGTCGTGGGTAGTACATTTTCTTGAAGGTTGACAAACGGTAGACACTTTCAGAAATGACACTCACATTTACATTCACATATTCCCAATTAGACATTGTGTTCCCAACTCTTGAGACCTACAGTGGATACCCGGGTAGGGTCGGGTAATAAGGGGTCGGGTACCCGTTTAGTAAATTTGGACTCGACCCAGCCCTACTGTATACGCATAACTGTTAACCTTACCTCATAACATATTCATCTAATAAAAATATAACTTTTCTCCACTTCTCCTTATGATGATAACACATAGCAAAAACCTTAAAAATGACAAATTTCTACTAGTGCTTATGATACCTTAACTATTGGGCACTTTGGCAAGGACTATAGGACTAGTGCCAGTTTCTAACAACAAACAAGATATTTGTATAACTATATTGATCATTTTACTTGACAGCGACCGTGTGGAGAAGACACGAGTTAGCTCCCTTCCTTCACTTCCCTTCGTCTGCCAAGATGGCTGCCTCTGCGGGGAGAGCGTTGTTGATGGTAACTGTGCGATTATAAATGTATCATAAGAGCTTCTATGAGTGTCTAATTTTTCATGAATATTTTCCAACATGTGATGTTTTGATTCTTCGAAAAAAATTAGTCACCTGTTATGTCAGCGTATTTCTACATTCTTTTCCCTATTTGACTTCTAACTTTGATCGTGCTCTTCAATGTCATTCAGCACACAGAGATACAATATCCTAGCCCTAGGCTAGGGCTGGGACCAGTCCAAATTTACTACCCGGGTACGCAACCCCCTATTACCCGACCCTACCCGGGTACCCACTGTAGGTCTCAAGAGTTGGGAACACAATGTCTATATTGGGAATAGTTTAACAGTAGCCCTGGCAAAAACTGTTTAGATACACGTATGAAACCAGAGAGCATATGATAGATATATGGTCTCATATGAAACGATCGAAACATGCTTTCACTGAATTGACTAAAGCTTTATCTTTACTCAAACATATACAAGTCAAAAGGACTGTGTGCATCATCATAAAGAAATCGGAACATTAACGAATTGTCGTGTAACCACTGAGCTCTGGTGAGTTTTTGTCATTAAACATTATGTCACGTGAATAACCACGGGTCCGGATAGTACTGTGGGTACCCGGGTCATACTCAGGACCCAACCGACCTGAGTACCCTGTCCCAGCCCTACCAGATCCGACATTCATCTTCGTGACTTCATTATTTCATCTGTCTGGATATACTTGTTATCATATGTCTTATTTGCGAAAAACGTATGAAGGGTTTTGCATGATCAAAAAAAAATAATTGTTAACTGCAAGTCACTCTAGAAGATAACATCACACAGGACCATATGTTTATCAGGAGCCTATAGGGCCTATAATATTAGTAAGAAGCCTCGTCTGTGAGTTTGGTAGTATAGAGTACTAGTTACTAGTATGAACAGGCACCCAAACGTCAGGCACAATGACAGTTTTCAGTCCAAGTTCTTCCTATATTGAGGTCATGCCCATTGGTTAAAGCATTTGCTCATCATTGCCTTACATGGGTAGGTGTTAAATGTGTGAAGCCCATTTCGGGTGTACCTTGCATGAATATTGCTAAAATCAGTGTAAAACTACTCCCTTACTATGGTGCTCTGTATTGTAACTAGACTACCAATGTTTAAAGCAAAGCGTTTAACTTGTGGGGCGATGAACCAGAACATGCGCCTTCAGTATTTTTCTACTCAGAAAATGGAGCTAGATTTGACAAGGAAGCCCCCTAAACATGAGATGTTGACACCTTCATGATCAAGTGTAGGAATGCAAGCTGGCACAAACCTCAGTTGCCCATTTAAAAACATTGACAATGACACCAGTTCTTGTAGACTTTTTATTAAAAGTACTCTTGACCCCCTCTATTTTGAGCCATGTACTCAGACCTTTAACTTCTAACACAGGCCTCTCTTGGCCTCATTACATAAAGTAATTTTAGTGCAATGACTGTTGCAAATCGTATACTTTAACATACTTAAAGACAGCCTTTGTGGTCTAGTGGTTGAGTGTCACAAGCTGTGTCATACCAAAAGATGTTAGAAGATAGTACTTCTTGTCACCTGCCTAGCGCTTGGCATTAAGGGGCTGAAACAAGGTCTGATCAGCTCGGAGTCAGTGTGGGGTATTCATATTAAACTGCAGCATGGTTTCTCAGTGGGCTTGCACTACAAATAGGCATTAGCCAGCTCTTGTACAAGCATATACACAAACACACATGTGCATGCACGTCACTATAGAAGTGCGATGATCTTTAATATGATGTTAAACCCCATTTCACCTTACCTCACCATGGACTTATATATGTTACTTGTAGCACTAATTTTCACTTAGCTGCTTTTATTTTTCAGAATGTAAAACCACATGTGCCTTTGATAAAGTTTCCATCCAGAGTTCTTTCCCCAGCAGGTAGGTTTCTTACTATTGTCCGATGTCAATCAAAATATTGGGATTTTTATACTTGAGATTATCTTCACATGTACCAGTCAATGTTTTCACATTTTTGTCAGCCAAACCAGGACATACCTTTACTTTACCTTCATGTTGTAGGCACATGGATCGCTCCATTCTTTGTTTATTCTATCATTTTGAGTCTTGGTGACTTAATATCACGAGAAAGAATGGACTATGGGTAGCCTTGTGGTTAGTTTACGCAAGAGGATTCAATTTCCTATATTGGTATTAATTAATGCTAGCTCCGAAACAGCTTTTTGGAAAAAGAGGGGTGCATTTTATCACCACAACATACCTCTGTTCTGTAGGAATGCAGATGTTTTGCTTTTGTTTATGGTAGGAAAGTTATTTATTGACGGCTACACAGCTGTACTGTTCAATTTTGAAATGTCAGCATTTGTGTATTTTTTCCAAGGTAATGATGGGACATGTGCCCTGGTGTCTGAGGTACTGCAATTCCCTGTGAGGAGTTTCACAGGCATCTATCAGATGTGCCAGGATCCAATGATTGTTGATTTAAACCAGATTTCCTCCTTAGTTTGTCATCACCATGTCCGTTCTCATGGGCGGCTTTCACTGAAGTGGCAAATGGTTAACAACTGCAACACAGCATTCCTCCCACATTGAGTGGGCATTTATTCATAGCATCATTAAGTGCCCCTCACTTACTCACAGTAATGTTATATTTTGTGCATGTTAGGTGCAGCAGCCACACCACCCCTAGCACATGCATCTTCTCCAGCAAGACCACCAGCAGACAGCAAGCCCATTGGCCAAGGAACTCGTGGATCAGGCATTGATTATAATGATCTCCCCCCGAAGTACCATCGGAAAATTATATCTCAAGAGGAAATGGAATATATAGAAGTAAGAAATTGGTGTAAATTATTTTTATCTGGAGTAAAGCACATTGTGAAATTATACAGTATGAAATGAAGTACATGTGTTTGTGAACATATTTCTTATTTAGGTATTTCTTATAACATAAGAGGGATATTATTATTTTTTGCCATATGATAGTTCAGAATTTCAGAATCAGCAGTGTGTATAGTCCACTAGAAAGCTAGAAAATCGAGATATACACTCCAAGCTGAATACATGTATGTAGTACAAAGATAATTTGCTGACTGCTAAAATTGGATAACTAGACCAGTTGGTTAAACTGTAATTGTTTGGCTTAACACAAAATTTTGATCCCTCACCATCACTTGTCAGCTATCCCGAAACACAAATACTATGGGAAATGTCATGCTTCAATTTAATTTAATAACTGCAATATGCTTGAATGCGACGTTAAACCCCATTTCACCTCACCTTTATATGCCAACACGTTTGGATAAGTAATTTTCAAAATAAGGAGACCTATTTTTCTACTCCTTTGAGCATGTTGAGGACAACATGCCAAGGACTCTCAGGTTGTTGGTTGGAACCGGGATTTGTGCTACTCCGTTGCCACCCTTTGTTAACACCAATAATTACACTTATGGAGGAGACTCTTTTCCAAATTTATAGTTGAACTAATTTTCAAGTTTAAAAAAGTGGCAATTTGTGACTTTTGTGTTTCAGAAAGGCGGCCAAGTGTGATGTGTGTCCTTCCTGTGTTAAGTGTAGCTCCTCAACACAGCTTCCCTCGTCGAGCTACACTCACACAGTAATCCTTAGTAAAATACCTCATATTTTCACAATCACAAGTAATCAACAGTGGAAACAACATGACCTTCTGTGAACGGCAGTGGTGTCTATAGTGCTTGAATAGGATGTGGATGTTATAATTAATGAATGACTGAATGAATGTGTGTATGTTGATAATAAAACTGTGTTTTGAGTTTTCTCTGAATTTTTTTATTGTTCCTGTTGTACAAAACATTATCTTGCTTCTGGATTATTCTCATACATGCCTGTGGATAACTCAAAATTCAGCATACCCGGTACATACAATGAGCAAACCAGAAAAGGGTTCTATATGTATAACAGAATTCTAGGAAACACACAGACATGAATTGTGCTGCTGCCTGGGTCGACTGATTGTAGTTTGGGATTCTAGATTTGTTCTGTTTATAAATGTCCAGCATCACACACTGGCTGAACCCTGGGGAAATGTTCCAAATTGTGAAAACGATGCATCACGGTTTTTTTCTTCTCAGAACAAGTATCGATCACCATCTCACACCAAGTAAAAGTCTTGATTCTTACCTTAAAATTCTTTTGTAAATGTTACATGAATGAGTAGCGAAAACAAATATTTTCACCAATTGTATTAACTGAAAATGTTGGTGCCAAGTAATTTGTTTCCCCATCTTTGAAAATGATGACTTCTGCACCACAGAAAAGAGCGCATGCAAGTGTTAGGGTTCGGATCGTGAGCAATATTGTGATACTATCAGATCGCACAGTTGGTGCATGTCCTAGTCCCAAGTGTATATGCTTGTATAAGTGGCAACCAAATGTTGGTTAATCTCTGTGACTAGGTTTATTGCATTTCGTAAGATTTCAGACTTTGTTCAATAACATCAATCACTGGTTTGTCTGGTCCAGACTTCCAGGCTACTTGGTACATTGCTGAGTGCGTCTTTATACAACAAACACCATGGTTCATAAATTTCACTTGAGGACCAAAAGTCGTCATTGGCCTTCCCTCCAAATCAGTGCATGACAGGGCTTCTTCAGTTATTGCATGTACCAGGTATTTCCCAAGTTTAAACTCGGGATCATAATATTAGATTTGCATCTCACATATATATTATTCCAGTTTGTCCTTGAGATAATTTTAATACACAATCTCAATCATTCACAGCCACATGAAACATCCAAGTATTGATAGTCTTTGAAGAGTAGTAATCTTTCATGAATGATAACAACAACCACCACTGGCATAACAGCATATTTATTGCTTAACTGCTGTTGTCAATACAAACATTCTTCACCATCACTGGTATTGTGACTCGTCCCTCTCTGGGGTTGACATTATATAGGACTTACTCCTAGAGCACCGTAGTGTAGCACTTACCACTGTGATGTGATCCATCAACACCATGAAATCATCATTGAAAAGTTACATAACACATTCCCCATGCTTATAAATGAAGTGAATGTTTGACCATGGGAACACCATTAACATTCAAACTTATAATCTACACAAATGACATTTTAATGTACCTTGTTTGACATGAAGAGTAGTGGGAGCCGTAGAAATTCATTTTTTCAAGTAGAAACTTATTTTACTTGTCCGGGTGAGCGAAATGTCCTTGGAGGATAATGTTTCTTTTCATTAACTATGTTTACATTTTCTGTAGGTTTTATTCAGTTCTGATTTGGAGCAAATTTAAACATTGAGAACTGGTTCAAAATAATAGACCTCAAATGCTGGTATTCAATGAGGACCCGTATCATTGGAAATGTGGTTGTCCTCAGCACAATATAATAGTCTCGGACAAGAGGATAAGCGTGAACTTCGAAGGCTGGCTAGAAGTGATACACTTTATCATGATACTAAACAAGTGGTTGGCATTCTCTGTCCATGCCTTCAACGACAACTCATTCTCTGGATTGGTTATTCACCCGACAACCAACATATGCTCTACTACCAATCTTCACTACCATCATAGGTCATTCAAGTTAAAACATGGATGAACTTTGGAGTATGTCTTTCAGAGAAAAAACAAAAATAATTCTCATACACAGAATTAATAGCTGCCAAGGCATTCATGGAATGAACATGAGACAACAGAAGCATGGAGCATGAACATGAAAACAATGTGTGAAACATGGCGGTTCTTTCATAGACTGGTGATATGTTCAATAATTAAACACATTCATCCAATCACCCTTACTGTGTTAACTGACCAGAGGCTGGGGAAGAGAGTGAAACATGTCTTGGGCATGTCACACAGAAGGGCTGGAGTTGAAATGACAACATGGGCATCATCATCACGTATACCTGCATTTAAAGTAAAATCTGGAAATTAATGCGTCTCTAATTTGAAACGACTGCTGACCCCTAGCGAAAATGACTCAATATCAATGTGACTCCCCTCCCCCTACCCCATCCCCAATTGAATGATACATTTATTTACCTTAATCCAAATCAAAAAGCAAATAGTACCGCTTATTAGCACTTCCGTAAAAACAATAAAAAGGTTTTTTTCCTAAAAACAACACATAGTTTATATGTTTACTCTGTTGACTGGCATTAAGGAAGTTAAAATGCAATAAAACAATTGAACCTAACAGTTCACTGATTGGTATGCGGAGGTGTCAACAAGCTTGACACAAGTGGGTAGCACACTTGACCCCAGCAGTGATAACTCACCGGATGCCCATTATGTAACTAATATTCTTTGAATGACATTGTTATATACCAGTTACATCTGCTGCTCGATAAACCTTGTTTGTGTTTATATTCTATTCAAGTTGGTATTTCCGCTGTCCAAAGTGTGCAGTGAGGCCATCTTATTGTTGATAGTCATTTTGGAGACATAAATGAGAAGTTAATTAATGCGAGCAAAGACCACTCATTTTTGCATTTAATTCACGCTTGAGTTAGTTTTATAATTTACACTACCTCACAGGACTAGCAAAGTTGCTGAATTGTCTCCTATTTGATGACAAATGCTGTGTACAATGTATCACCTCACCAGCTTAGTTTCTATCCAGATGAAAGATTTTAAGCAGAAATTGACTTCACAAAAATCATCTGAACTGTTGATGCATAATGTGAACTAGAATAGACTTAACATATCAAATCTTGTCTAAATAGTATGAAAAATTACCTTTGATATTAAATGCTTAGGTCCATTCATGTTTCTGTAACTGTTCAAGCATTTCTATCAAAACAATGAGACAAGACACATAAAAACTGACAGTAATGATGACCTGGTATATATAGTATATAAGGCAGCAGGTTGTCAGCAGTCGCTGCCTGGTAAGATCCATTCCTTTGTATATTCGAATTTAATACTCCTTTGAAAATGGAAAAGCAAACAAGGTCAATATTGAATACACTGTGGATGATTCCGTCTCGTTATGACTATCATGAGACTAGTGCTGACTTGGGGTTCCTGGCAGTCATACTTGGGCAGTAGTGAGACAGAATACAACATTATAGTTTCAGTAAATGCAAACAACAGAACTCATAAGGCTTGGCTTAAAGCATAATCGTGTAAACTCATCCTTGGTCAATACACAAGAATAAACAAAATGAGCTCCCTCTGTAATTAAATAAGACTTTCCAGCACTCATGCAATAAAATAATAACATAAATATATCCCAATCATTGACTTTCTGTAAGGCAATGATATCAGATGAGAGTGGTTTCCTTGGGAAACTTGTTTGCAAACATATCTAGTTATTCTATTAAAGATGTCTCATTCAAACAACACTGTCACAATCTCACACACAAATTCACACACAAAATAAGCATTTCAGTCAAACAATATATAATATGTATCAATTTCATGTTCACACAAAAGGAACTTTCCATTTCCATCTTCAAAAACATACATAAGGAACTTTCCATTTCCATCTTCAACTCGTGAGTCCAAAGAATCTTGTGCCCTTCGGTCAATAATGACCATACTTCAGTCAGTAGCTGTCATGCGCTTCAAGCACTTGAAATTAAAAGCATCTTGCTTTTCCAAATTGGATACTAATTACGAAATAGATTCGGAGATCATATTCCTAATTTTCCTAACTATGTCTGACTCAAGGTTACAAAGGTCAAAGTTGAAGGACGTTTCTGTGACCTTGAAGAGACCAGTCTGACCAATTAAGTTGGCGATTTGCTGTAGTATCTTGCGGTCAGTCATTCTACAGAGGGTCACCTGCATGTCCAGCAACTCCTTGATATTCTCCCCATTCGAAGCCTTCTCGGGGAGGCCATTTTCTGACTGACCACTTTCCTTATCTTTCACTGAGTCTTTCTTCTCCTTTGACCCTCGACTGTCTTTACTTGAGTGTGAATGTTTAGAGGAAGAAGAAGATTCAGATCTTTCTTTTTTATCTTTTGAGTCTTTCGATTTTGTTTCTGGCTTTGAGGATTTTCTTGAACTTGATGAACTGCCATGTTTAGACTTTGATGATTTAGATTCTACTTTCATTGGAGAACTTTTAGATTCATTTTTGAGAGGAGAGGATTTCCGGTTGTCTGAAGTGTTCTTGGAGGGTTTGGGTGAGTTGTGTGAATGGTAGTGAAGCTTGGTGTCCGCAGAGTGAGTGGACCTGACATCCTCGTCCTCACTGTCACTACCGGAGTCAGGCTTCACAGGTTCACTATCACACTTACTGGAGCTGCTGCTGGAATCATCCTCCGCCTTCCCCTGCAGGATCTTCCTTGTCATCTCCTCCTCATCCTCCGAGAGCGACGATAAGGTTGAGCTTTTTGGTGTTGGCAGGGGATGTTTAGGGCTTGCACTTGAATCACTGTCACTCTCAGAATCAAGCGTGTCTGTTTTGACGGGAGGGGGGCTGGCAGATCTAGAAGGGCTGTCTCGGAGGGGGGATAGCAGTTCAGTGTCAAGTTTAAACTCTGGCAAAGACTTACTCAAGCTAGAAGATCCCTTAGAATGTGAACTGGAGCTGTCAGACTTATCCTTTTTCTTGTCTTTATGAGATTTCTCTTTGCGATGTTTGGAGGAAGATGACTTTTTCTTTGACTCACCCTCTTCAGATTTATTTTTTTTGCTTGATGACTTGTGAGACTTGTGTTTGGAAGATTCAGTGGTGGAGGAGGTGGAGGAGCTTCTCCTCATCTTCTTCCCCGACGTCTGCTCTGTGGGAGACGTGGTAGAAGGGCGTTTCTGACCCGTTGTCTCTCTAGAGGATGAAGATGAGGAAGAAGAAGATTTAGAAGTCTTTGGTTCCTTGGACGCAATAGGTTGCGTGCCCGGGCCAGAGGAGGAGGAGGATGAGGATGTGACGATGGCGGAGGCATGGGATGACTGTGGGGTGGAGGGTTTAGACACCACACTGCTGCTGCTACCTTTGCTCTTTGAGCTCTTTTCCTGAAACAGACAGCAGAGTATCAGCTTCTGTGCATACAAGTTAGTGAGCTTGTTTGCTTCACAGCCGCTTCGGACAGTATTGCAGTGATATAGGTATGTCAGCCCAATGTGGGAGGAAAGCCTGAAGTGTTGCCCTTCTCAAATGTCCACCACTTTGAGCAGGGGATGGTGAGGACAAACCTAGGAACATTAGGCGAGTCTGGGATTTGAATCAATGATCATAGTTTTGGTCATGCCTGATAAGGGATGCAACTGTGCTAAATGAATTCTTGTGCCAAAGATGATTTGACCATCCATGCCCCAAATACTCACATACTCTAGCTCATTGACTGTATTGAAGTTCAAGAGTTGTCTATCCAATAAAATGAATCAGACAGAAATTATGTGTTGTGATGTTTCGATAAGGTTGAGTGGGTGACTGTTTTTCTCCTCGGTCAACAATATTCCATCACTGCAGACAGTAATGTCGTTATAGTGGTTATAGCCAAGTCAACCAGTGGTTGAAAGCATGAGCATCAATCCATGCTATGACGCCCAACCAGCCAGTGCATCAACATGTAGGCCCTACCCACCAAATAGTCTTACCACTAGGACGATCAGAACTCCCTTGAGTGAACTTAGACTTAAGACAATCGCATCGCCCAATATCACTTCATGGAGCAGAGCCAAAGCCTCATCTTAGCTGTGGGGAACTTGGGCTGAGTAATAAGCCCACAAGGAGGTCATTGTGACCAGTTACATCTGATAGATTCCGAAATGTAGTATCAATTCAATGTAGTGTTAATTCTGTATATCATATTTAGAAGTTTCATTTGGAAGCAAGCTGGTTAGCCAATTTTAGATTTAAGTAGTCAGTTCTTTTACCAAACCAAATACAAGGAAACATCTGGTGGAACAGAGCGAAACATTATTTCAAGTCAACAAGGCTAGAACTACAGGACAGGTTGGACCACTGAATAACAAGAGATACTGTTTTTATCAATTGGGCTTATTTGTCAAGTGAACATTTTTATTTGAAATGGGGGAAGAAAGTTTCTATATTGAAGCTCATTAGATAGAATTAAAGGTTGCCAGTTGGGCTACCTATCTTTTTATTTTCACTGGCAAGACAGAAAAGAAAATAGCCACGGGTAACTAGGCAGGCGCTTTTTGCACACTGCTGCATGTCATGCCTATGCTATCATGGAAAAAAGATATCTTCAACCACTTGCTGCCATAGGTTCATTTTGATAGTGACATTCCCATAACATATTTTTTGCTCATGATTAACAACCAACCACAGCTCCTGTTTACATCAATAGTAATAAAATCTGTTTTAAGTTATGAACCACTTCATTTCTGGCTTGCTTAATGTGTAATTGAATCTCTGTTTAACTTTGTAATTAAGTTAGATATCTGACATAAGTCTTCGATTATAATATTAAGTCAAAATATTTTTTGCCCCTACCTTAAATTTGGAGTATCCATTAAGTTTATATTAAAGACATGTCCCGGGCCGCATGATTGAGAACTCATTTTGCTCAATTTAATATGAACCTTCTCAGACCTATGTTGGACGCCAAAGTGGCGATCATAAAATTTCTGTGATGGGAATCGAACCACGGACCTCCTGATTTGAGGTCGGACATGTCCACATGATGAAAAATATTCACCCTGTCAGCAAGCTGACAAGAAAAGGATGACCTAGTTGTGGCTCACCCTGTTGTTGTTGCTGCTGCTGCTGCTGCTGCTGCTGGAGGAGGAGATTCCGGCCGGTCTCTTGTTGCCAGTGTCAGGGGTGATGGGGGGTCCGAACAGTTCAGTGAAGGGTTGCTGGGAGTTGCTGTTATACTGCACCTAACCACAACATACACAACACAAATCATCAAGTCATTCTTATGTTTTCTTATTTTGCCTCAGCGGATTCCTGCTATATCATGGCAGCCTTAAAATAACCTTCAATACCAAATCAACAAGACAATCCAACTTCGTCGCCTCTAACCCAGGCAGAGTACTGGGAACCTCATCATACACAAGTCCTTGAGGGTATAGACAGTCTCAGCACAAGAGCTTATGTTCTAGGTGTATGGAGTACCCTTTTCATATAGTGGTATTATTTGTGCCAAACACTCCTTAGAAGTAACCATTTTCATCATATACTTGGAAAGATTTCCACCTGTAGCGCCGGCTTCACATTTTGCTTGGATTAGAGCAACCTAAGCCTTCACAAATGATATTTAATACTTCTAGCCAGGGCTTATGAGTTTTTTTATTTCAAAGCAGGAGTTACACATGAATGCTTTTCAAAAACAAATGAAAATGTAACCATAGTAACATATTAAAACTCACAAACTCTTTGAGAGGAAATAATGTGGTAATGAACTAACACAATATATGCACATAAGATTCCTGAATAAGGTCAACATTGTTTGTCAACTGCTCTAACAAGAAACCCAAAACAGGTTGTAAAGTTTTTACATTCAAAACTGACATGTGGGAATCGGGCATCTTACCTTCATGATAAACAAACAGTTGACTATGTCCAACTATGCATGTATTCCATGAAGTGTGATTAACCCACATATATCTACATCCAACTGTGGTAGTGATGCTTGTATTCCCTGTAGACCAACAGGTGATTATTTGCAACTATGGCATAACCGCGGTATTACATGTGGTGACATACACCTCCATCTGGCAGCAGGTACCTGGACTACCACCTGTCTTGTTACAACACACAAGCTCAGGTGTGGAGATCACTAATTACCCAAGCTGACCAGCACACGGTGGAGTTAAGAGCCAAGCTGAACATGGGCTCGTTAGCACTGAGACTTAATTAACCTTCCTTATTGCAAGCTGTTAAGGTGTTTGTCACAAACCTATTGTAACTGTTTGTTAATTAGACATACACTCGTTTATGTAGTTTAGCTTCGATCATGTGGAATGGTAGTGTAGGAAAGTGCTGCCACAACAACAGTGTTAGACAAACACAAGTCTGTTAATGCCAAGGCTTGTGGAATCTGAAATGACTTCTCGTTAAAAAACAAGAAGTCAAATCTTCATGTTACGTTAACCCCGTTTGAAGCTGGTATGAATGTGTTAATCCTGTTGTTATATACCAAGTTGCTCATCAGTGCGAATCACCTGGACCACTTGGGAACAATAACACTTCCTGATAACTTGTCTGTGAAACAGGCAGGGAATTTTTATATTTCATGCACCTTTTATCCTTTGAAATTCAAATCCATTTTGAAGAAATTAAAGTAAATTCCTGCAACATTCCCAGAAATGAAACTTATTACCTACTTCAAGTAATTTCAAGGTGGTTACAACACTATCCCTGCCTGCCTTGACAACACCTACCCAATCTGCAATGACAACACCTACCCAATCTGCCATGACAACACCTACCCCATCTGCCTTGACAACACCTTCCCCACCTTCCATGACAACACTCACCCCATCTGCCTTGACAACACTTACACCATCTGCCATGACAACACCTACCCCATCTGCCATGACAACACCTACCCCACCTGCCATGACAACACTCACCCCATCTGCCTTGACAACACTTACCCAATCTGCCTTGACAACACCTACCCCATCTGCCATGGCAACACTCACCCCACCTGCCATGACAACACCCACCCCACCTGCCATGACAACACATACCCCAACTGCCATGACAACACCCACCCCACCTGCCATGACAACACATACCCCACCTGCTTTTACAACACCTACCCCACCTGCCATGACAACACCCACCCCACTTGCCTTGACAACAGCCATTCAACCTGCCATGACAAGACCTTCCCCCACCTGCCTTGACAACACCTACCCCACCTGCCATGACACCTACCCCACCTGCCTTGACAACACCCACCCCACCTGCCATGACAACACCCACCCCACTTGCCTTGACAACAGCCATTCAACCTGCCATGACAACACCTTCCCCCACCTGCCATGACAACACTCACCCCACCTGCCTTGACAACAGCCATCCCACCTGCCATGACAACACTCACCCCACCTGCCATGACAACACCCACTCTACCTGCCTTGACAACAGCCATCCCACCTGCCATGACAACACCTACCCCACCTGCCATGACAACACCTACCCCACCTGCCATGACAACACTCACCCCAGCTGCCATGACAACACCTACCCCACCTGCCATGACAACACCCAGCCCACCTGCCATGACAACACCCACCCCACCTGCCTTGACAACACCCACCCCACCTGCCATGACAACACTTACCCCACCTGCCTTGACAACACCCATCACACCTGCCATGACAACACCCACCCCACCTGCCATGACAACACATACCCCACCTGCCATGACAACACCTACCCCGCCTGACTTCAGTAGCTTCTGTCGGAACTCTTCAGTGGGGTTCTGGAAGGTGAGTTTCTCACAGCGGTTGTGGTTGATGGACGGACCACCTTCAGCATTCAGGTACAAATCATAATTAAACCTGAGCTTCTTGGGCGATTCCTTGTTGCGGAAGTAGATGTCGATCGGCAACAGGAAGCTGGCGTAGCCCGACTCGGTCACCTGATAGGGGGGCTCTTTGACAGCTGTAGGAAGAAATGTCTCCATCAGACAACATGGACTATGTGACATCCAAAACAATGGTAGAACACATGTTGACACGTCAATCCATATGAATTCTCCTACAGACAGGTTGAATGTTCATGTGAGAAAGGTCGTTATACGACATGTCACAACATACAATTTGTTTATTTTAGTGCTGTTTTCATTGTCCAGTGTTTCATTTCACAACATATCCTGTCACTCACAAATCAAACATAAAATATATGAATTTTAATCTTTGTTCGTCTTGAGTTTTCTGGTTCTAATCCATGCCCCCTAGGGCTGGCATGAGTCCCAACTGACTAGGGCCGTAACGATACACTCTCGTATTCAGTAAATCGAATCATATCCATTCATGAATTGAATTCTTTATTAGTGGTCACTAGAATGGAATATTTATGAATATACAATCATGTGCATTTAAAAAAACCTGTACCTAATACATCCATAAAAACATATGATATGCAGAGATTTCTTTAAAGACAACACTCTTATAATATTTAATTTGACAGGAATTTGGTCACTGGTCATTGTAGCATTTGAGCAGGTAATAAGACTAAGTACCTGGACAAGTGCAGTATATAAATGTATAATATAGATAATTAACAAACCATGTCAAATAATTTATGTTGTTAATGTTTCACTAAATATAACAAATAATACATCAACTGCTGACTTATTATTGTATTCGTGAATTAATATTCATATTCATCACGCTATATTTCGTGATACAAATCGTATTTGCCTAATAGGTTATTCGTTGCAGCCCTACAATTTACTGCCCAGGTAAGGTGATTCCTAACTCACCCATGGTATTCGCCAAACACAAGCTTTAACAATGACCTCACTACGCATGGACAGGCTAAGTGGAGAGCCTGTTAAATTTACTCCATTAATATCAGTATATTAAATAAGTGCAATAAACTGTTTTCATATTTTTTCCAAGACAGTGTCAATCTACAATATGAAAAAGGACACACAAATAATAAATTTGTCTTCTGCTTAACAAAGTCGGACACCTTGTGTATCACACAGACGTATACAGTATACCCTCGGTCTTTGAAGTATACTCCCTTCTCCTATTCTTGTGGGTTCTAACTAGAAAGTGCGAGGAGATTGTGTGTCGCTAAATTTTCCAGAATGTTCTGACTATTCGTAAGAATGAAATCCTAACATAATGAGGAAGTGAAAACCTGGGTTATCAGGAACTATTTGTTTACCACATCCTGTACCTGGTTCTCTCAGGAAAAAAGATGAGATTGTACAACATCCTGCCTACTGATAACAGATGTTTCAGCCAACGCCCCTTTTGGAAAGTTTTCACCAGTTTCCTCCAATGTATCAACAACTAGATTCGTGTTTTACACAACCAGGCAATTTATTTTCATCCCAATAAAAGAGGTAACCCCATTTGCTTTTATTATCATCTTAAAAAGTCTAGTTGTCAGGTCAACAAATAAAGTATGTATTTTTGTCATCAAATAACCACAAATAATGCAACAATACTCTATATTCTATTGTTACATACAGTCATCGTTAACTGTGTCACACTGCTGTCAAACTGTCGATATCTGACAGTCTCCATGCAGGGGTTGTCAGTTTGTTCAGGCCCGACTTGCCTGACCCATGAAAATATAGTGTCGGGCAAGTGGGAAAATATCATTTCTTTGCCCTCGGGCAGGTATGAAAATCAGCTGTATTAACTTTGGAACTTTGAAGATGCATCGTGCATTTGATAACTGCAGATGAAGTACCTGACTAGTTATTTTCTGCACATCTCCCAGCTGGTGCTTCAGTTAAAGTTTTGTTGTCAGATTAAAGTTTTCTTCTTTTCCTGGATGTAACACTAACAGGACAAGTTGAAAATCAGACTGGGCATAAATATGTTTAAGTAGGTCATTTTGCTATTTGAAGCTCACTGCTCCATGTCTGATCATGTGATAACTGGCATCTTTATTCAACAAAACTTCTCATTTGATTCACCAGTGAAACTGTGTCACATAGTCAAATATGTGGAAGACGTCAAACTAAGGTCTCAAATGATGAGTTAAAGAGTCGTTTTTTCAATATAGAATTTGTATTCAGCATAACCATCAGGTACAATTCACACAAAGCATTTCAACACAAACACATCAGGTTTTCTGAAGTGTATTCATAATCCTTGGACCACCAGGACTAGAGAAGACATCTGTTGACCATGTTGACAGGACCAGGGCTTTACCTGGATTGTTTTTTGGGGGGGTCCAGGAGACTCACAATTGTAGGGGTCACAGGCTAAAACGTGGGGGTCCCATGCAACAAAATGGGGATCCAAGAGAAATGTCAAAAATCGTATATAAAAAATATAATTTAATTAAAAAAAGGCATATTCTTTGTTTGTTTCTATTTTGTTCAATATGTAATATCAGCACAACATTTACTCATGTTTGAATGCTGAATTTACCCTTGAAGATGCATTCAACTTGCCCTGCATAAAACTTTCCCAAATCTTGTTTTGCCATGTTTTGACCCTGATCTGTACAGAGACTGTGCTCTTTCCACAAGTGACATAAGATTGTGCATGCTCAGAATCTGTTCGTTGAAAATAGATATAGAATTCCACAACTGAAACGAAACGACAAATGCTAGGTTAACTTACTGTAAGACTGACAGGGAGGCCCTGGTTGCACAATGCAAATTTTGTGATATGACTGTCATAACTCATATACTTTAACATAAGACCTATGACAATCATAGCACTACCATCCCTGAGGTTTTTGAAGTATGGGATATTGGTCCAATCATGTTTAACAAAACAATACACTTTAACAATAGCATGGTGTAGATGTTGAGGTTTTGATGTCACTGGGTTTAAAATATGATGAACTTGAACATCATAAATCATACTCTTATCACAATTTCTTTGTAAAACCCCAATAAAGTGCTGAGGAAAATATAAAGACTCAAAGAACAGATTTGTTTGTGTGTTATTAATGCCAGCAATATTCCAGCCATACGACAGCAGCCTGTAAATAAGTCCTGACCAGACAATCCAGTGATTGATATAATGAGCAAAGATCAACTCTGTTGGGGAATGATGACATTTAATCAACCAAGTCCCCAAATGTGACCACCTGATCCACTAAGCTGCCTCTGTCAACCAATTTTGAGGCCTACCATATTCGACGTAATAAGCGCCCTGCTCTAATAAGCGCCCACGTCGAGATTTGCTAATATATTGGCAAGTGAACAATCCCAATTAGTACCTCTTCCGACCCCTATTCACATATAATACGCACCGCTTCCTTCCCCTATTCGCGTATAATACGCACTCGTGTGTTATATGCACCCTTTATTATTGGCAATTAAATTCTGTTAAAAAAAATTCTGTCATACATAAACATTTCAGGCTGTCAGCATAAAGCACGAAATATATCTTTCAACCCTGTTTTTTTTTCACCCAAAAAATATTCTAATAAGCATGATAAGAGCCCCCTGTTTCTAATTTTGAGAGCGCCCTGGGCGCTTATTACGTCAAATACAGTATATTGAATCCCCATATGGACTCAAATAAAAGAGTCATTTACAGTGCTACATTTGTAAAAAAGAGAAGCATTGAAGTCACTGACACTTGCATGACTGAATGAACCACAGATCGTATCACTCGGACTCATGGGATGGTTTATGTTTTGGTTTTAATTTTCAGCCTGGCATCATGACTACACATCCTTGCCCAAAAATGAAAACTCAGTATCATTTTAGAATTGACCAATCAAAAGGCTTCAAGGCAAATTTGAAGAAAAACATTTCAATTTTTACCCAGGCCTTTAAATGACACACCAGCTGTTTAGATATTACCAGGCTTCTGTGGAGATCACAGGGAGAACTTACCTACAGATCGCAGCAGCAGTGACCATGGTGACTGGCTGACAGAGTGAGTGTGACTTGCAGCTCGATTTGGGCTCTATATATACACACACATGAGATCAATACTGGGAGAGAACTGCTGACTCAGGCTTCCTTTTACATTACAGTATCACACACCTGGCCCTTAGTGTCTGTGTGTGTCACGCCAATATTGATCAATGTCAGTCTTTTCAATTGTCACTATGAAGCATTCTGCTTACCATGCTTACTGTGGTTTGTGTATACATTGTTTTTTTCTTTACATTTTCTTTGTTCTTTATTTCATAAGGGGGTACACTTTTTTATGAATTTGTTAATTTAGAATTAAACAATGAGCTTATTGTAGCAGTCTTGGTAAGTCCAGTTGTACCCAGCGTATCCTGTAGCAATTAGGCCACATGGACACAACAGCAGGACACTGCACAACTCAGTGCACCTGTCACTAACATCTGCTGCATCCACCACACAGTAAGTGGGTGGGCGTTTGTGAGTTAGTGAGGGAGGGAGGTTGAGTTAGGTGGTGAGGTGAGGTAAAATGGGAGTAACGTCACATCCAAGATTATTCCACTTATAAAGCGACGTGTGCTGATTTGTACTGCTAGCCCACTGAGATACTATGCCACTGTTTAACATGAATCCCCCACTCAGCTACAGTATACTGACTCCGAGCCGACCAGTCCCTGTTTTAGCTCCTCAATGCTGAGTGCCAGACAGGGTAACAACAAGTACTATCTCTTAACGTCTTTTGGTAGGACGCTTCCAGGGATTGAACCCAGAACCTTCCGCTTTCTGGGCGGACGCTCTACCACTAGACCACGGGGGCAGGGGTTGAGTAAATGAGTGGATGGGCAAGTGAGAAAGTGGATAACTGACTGAGTGAGTAAATTGGCAACAGTTAGAATTAGTAAGTGAATAATTGATTTCAGTAAATGGCCCTCTTACAGTTAAAGTGATTGGGAACGAAAATTTCTTCATGGGCTTATGGTCCCATTATTAAAAAGTTTATAGACCACTTTTTGCCACTGATAAATACAAAGGGCCATAAATTCAACAAAACTGAAAAATGATTGCAGCTGAATAACATTTAATCCTTCATAAT